CCCTCCCGTTGCTACACCGAAGAAAGCGGCAGCAAAGGTAAAAGCTAAGGCTAAAGCAAAGAGCAGCAGTGCGAAAGGCAAAGGGAAGGTCGCAGGCTTGAAGCGTCCAGCAGCAAAGGCAGAGGAGGAACCGGAAGCAAAGAAGAAAAAGGGAGGGTCCAGGAAGGTGGACACTGAGTGGTGTAAGGGTTTAGCAAAGACGGAAAGAGAACACCAAGGTGAGACAGAGGAACAAGAGAAAGGAGAAGAAGAAGAAGAAACGACAGAAGACCCGAGTGTTGACCCAGGCGACGCCTTTGCTGTGGCGTCTGCCGAAGACGAAGGAACGAAAAACAGGTCCAAGCACGCAAAAGTTCCTCAAGCTGTTGAAAGGCAACCTCCTGCAGGCAGGAAAACTTGTGCTCAACACCGAGAAGCCCATGTCAAAGAGATCATGGCCACTTACACAGCTCAGGAGTCCAAGGAGAAAGAAAAATCGCTTCCAAAGCGATTGCTGATGGGAAAGTACAATATGGATGAAGATCCCTTCAACCAGACTTTGGCAGAAGGAGATATCGAGGAGGTAGTGCTCAGCAGTGGCAAGGTGCAGTACAGTTTTGTGAGTGCAGAACATAGCACCACACGAGGCAAGCGCTCAGAAAGCTCAAGTGCTGCCCAGCAGGAAGTGACTTCAAAGGACAATGCCAAGAAATGGGCAATTGGCTTGTTTACGAAGCCACGGGGTTCAGCCTCAACGTCTGGGAAGAGCAAGGCAGTGAAGGCAGGACCGCAGCCCTTGTCCTTGGACTGCGCTTTGAATGCTGAACAATGGACTCAGGCAGTGCAACAGTTGACTCTGGGCATGGCGGCTTTTGACAAAGTCTCGAGTACAGCTAAGCGCAAACTCTTGAGCTTAGGCAGCAACAAGCAGGACAGCCTGTGGCCAACTCTGCACCTAGCATGCATTGGTACTGGTAGGCTTGAATTAGAACCATCCAATTTACTTGTGCGTTTCTCTTACAGCTTTTAACTTTACATATTCTCCCCACCTCCATGTAGTCTTGCTTCTCATCTCTGTCGTCAGGAAGCAGATCGTACAAGATTGTGGAGATCACAAGGGAAAGCTCGAGCACTTGGCACAGTGGCAGGAGAAACAAAAACATATAGTTGATGGCTGTCTTTCTGACTTGCTCCACACATCCTTCTCAAGTTGACCACTACATGTTTTGCAAGTAACATGTTCTATTCACTATTCACTCACCAAAACCCTACCGAAATAAAACACACCTTTGGTATTTTCGTGTACATATTTCTACTTGCCTCTTCGTTTTTACTTGCACTGCGGGTCAGTGTAAATAGAAGAACCAAAGGACAAGTAAAGCTTTCTTTTTCGTTTGCAAGTAAACAGCATGGACCGTGTGATGTGTCAGGAGCTACCCAACGGAGCAGAAGTTACGGTCTCCCTCTACTCCACAATCAAGGCAGAGGCAGGTAAAAAGGCAGAATCCTTGGAAGAGCAATTGGCAGCTGTTGAAGCTCAACTGCGTGTGCGCGCCAAACGCACGACCTGAGCCTTGCAAAGAAAAATTCCTCAGCTTGCTGTAGCTTTACGTGAAACGATATGTGCTCGTATCAGGTTTTTGGGTGACAGACCATTGAGTTTGATGTCAGATATTAGTATCCTTTTGGATCTTTACTCAGTGTAGAGAATGCTTCGCAGCGCTTGGAGAAAAAAGAGTTCTGTACCACCTTTACCTGAAATACAGAAAACCATCTTATAGCTCCAAGTTCAATTTTACTTTCTAAGCCTTGTGGTACATCGGTCATATCGTGTGAGATGTTTCTGTTTTTCTAAAAGAAGAAACTAAACTCATCCTAACACCTAACAATCATTTTTTGTTTGCATGGCGGACTTGCAGATTTCAAATTTACCTGTAGAACAGTTTTCTCTACATGGAAAACAAAAGTCAGACCTGTGACATGGGTTAGAGATGCTGCTAACACTTTGGGTAGCATTTGGAATACTTATGCAATATCCAATGTTGCAGTTTACTTTCAAGCAGTCTCGAATTTTTGCCCTTGTCGAGACTCTGTCATTACCACAATGTCACTGATAGGGCCCGTGAGTCCATTGGAACAACTTCTCCAGCACAAGGACGAGGCCTTCCAGGGTCACCTCTTCACCACGAAGGACTTGGGGTCATTGGCAGCTCTGGACAAAAGTTTCAAAAGCTATGCCATGGACAATGAGCACTACCAGGACTTGCATCGTGACTATGAACATGAACAATGGTTGGCATGGATGAATTCACCATCCAACCCCTACGACTTCAGGGACTAATGTGTCTCTCTAAAAGAGATCCTTCAATTCGCGAAACATCTTTGTGCTCCTGCACATGCCTGGCAACTCATTTCAAACTTTGAGCTCCGGAAAAAAAGTGCATTTACTTGGACAGGGAAAGAACAATGAAATTCATAACACAGTTCAAACTCTCAAACTATTTTTTCCAAACTTAAAACGCTCAATCTGTATTTGTCTTTGTTTGCAGGCATTGCAATAACTGATGACACTCTCATCCGAAAAAAAAAACATAACCTGGACCAAATGCAGTTGGGGGTTACATGAAAGTTCTGCAAGCTAACCAGATGAAACGTGAAGAAGCTCTGACGAAGTTTGGATGCAGTTTTGATGCGGTTTTGATGCTGTTTGGTCATCATCTTCAAATTACTAGTTACTTGCAAAAAAGTAATTTTTACTACTATTTTTTTGTATATCAGTAATTTTACTCCAAAACTAAAATTACCAGATCCGGAGACTTAGGGTGGTGTAAACAATTCCGAATTTGTCCGGTTCAGTTTCACGGCAGCGACTTCCATCCACAGCATAATAGCTCCAGTGAGCCTTGCGCACCAAAAAGAAGGGTTGCTTGTGATACATGGATGTGTCGAAACCTAAGGAGACTGATCGTTTGAAGTTAGGAGACTTTATGGGCTTAGACAAGATATATAGAAGTTAAGCAAATTATGTCAGAATTTAACATGATTTGGCTAGGCACCTTAGAAGAAGTTATGTTAAATTTGGTAACTTAGTTGCTAACTTTAGGTAACTGTTCATAACTTCTTTAACTTAAAAAAATCGTTCGGTTACGCTAAGCTACATATGTTGATTCATGTAATAGGAATATACGGAAGGGATTTGGATACTTTGCTGCTACGTTTTAAAGATGAATCCTTTACAGGATCTGTCTTTCAGATTGTATCCTTTTCAGGAACTGTCATTGCAACAAGTCCGGCAAAATTCTTTTCAGCATTTTATATCCTTTTGCAGGAACCATCATGTCTGATAGTTTTCTTTTCAGAAAATTGGCGCAGGCACGCTTTTTTAAAATCTCTGTTTCGGTTTCATTTTGTCACCGTAAAAGGCATCACCAAGATCTTTACCAGATCGTGAGCCATGTCGAATCTGGTGATAGCCAATGTGCTGGCTTGTAAGCATGAGCTTGAACAATAACATATGATGCAAATTCTTTTCTCATTTTCTTGTTTAAGGGATGTCATACGTGACCAATTCCGTTTTATACATGGACTGAACTATGACTAGTTGAGGCTGAACTGTGCTAGTTTAGGCTGAACTATAGCTAGTTTAGGCTGAACTATACTGAACTATAGCCATTTGAATTTAAAAGGTAAACTGAACTATGGCTGAACTATAGCTAGTTTAGGCTGAAGTATAGCTAGTTTAGGCTGAACTATGTCTGAACTATGGCTGAACTATAGCTAGTTTAGGCTGAACTATGGCTGAACTATAGCCATTTGACTTTAAAGCGATAACGATAACTGAACTCTGGCTGAACTATAGCTAGTTTAGGCTGAACTATAGCTAGTTTAGGCTGAACTATGGCTATTTAGTTTAGGCTGAACTATGGCTGAACTATAGCCATTTCAATTTAAAAGGAAAACTGAACTATGGCTGAACTATACCTAGTTTGGCTGAACTATGGCTGAACTAAGCTAGTTTAGGCTGAACTATAGCTAGTTTAGGCTGAACTATGGCTGAGCTATAGCCATTTGAATTTAAAGGGAAACTGAACTATGGCTGAATTATGGCTGAACTATAGCTAGTTTAGGCTGAACCATAGCTAGTTCAGGCTGAACTATGGCTGAACTATAGCTAGTTTAGGCTGAACTATGGCTGAGCTATAGCCAATTTCATTTGTATAGCTGAACTATGGCTGAGCTTTTCCCGCACTATGATTGAAATATTGTTGGATTATCGCTGAATGAATTATTTCTCAGCTCTAGCTAAATTCTGGTTCAAACATACTAAATTTTCAAAGCACAGAGATGAACTAACTAGATTTACATTATCATTGAACTATAAACGAAACCATGATTCACAAAGCCGACTTCTTTCTTTTAGCGCTTGCTTGAACACGACAGCTATGTCACCCCAAAAAAATGCAACACTGCGTCCTGTCTTCCAATTTCGGGAGTTGTCATTTCTGACCATGTCTTTTTCAAGACTTGTCATTTCTGACTCTGTCCCTTGAAGACCACCCGTCACACTCCTGTCATAACTTTTGATAACTCTTTGTTAACTTTCCATAACTTATGTTAACTTTCTGTAACTAGCTATGTTAACTTCCCTAACTAGATATCAGAAAATAACATAAAGATAAGAAAGATACGCTAACTTCGATAAATATATGCATTTCAAACACATACTTACAACTTCACCTGTGCTGCTACATGAAGTTATATCTTAGTTATCCATACTTAAGGAACTTGAGATACTTACAAGTAGTTTACACCATGGTTGTAATCACTTTATACATACATTACATCTCTTCTAAGTTCCTAAACTTGTCTAACTTCAAACGATCAGTCTCCGTACTACTTTTTCTTGATGATCGCCAGGGTGTTAGGGTTTTGATTCAATTCATTGCCCAGACGATCAGCGTGATTGGAATGGTTCTGCCATGCACTTGCACATGCAGTGATGATTGCCACGAACAACTGAGGAAGGACACACCCGGAAGTCCATGGAATTAGGCCGCGAGCAATGCAACGACACAGTCTATCGTAGATTCAGTCATCGATGCACCTTCTGTGTTGCATATCTGTCTATGCATACATTGTATCAATTTGTATCACATATTTATTAAATAATATTCATTTCTGGATGGAGCATATAGTCACAACAACCTAGATGTAGTTGATTGGTTATGGACCTATGGACATTTCTTGGTCAAACGCTAAAGACTGCCTTGTAGGCTTTTAGATCCTGTGGTCATGCCGTCGCAGGTCTCAAGAGCGCATGGGGACAGGGGGGCACCTCCTTCCTTTCCACATTGGTGCAGCTGGGTGCTTCATTCGTCATTGTGTGCCTTGGACGTCAGAGGGGGGCCAGGTTCTGAGCGTCCCCAAACTAAGACCTCTCAAGTCACCCAAAACGGTGTAGTTTGAATGGGTAGCTTGACTTTTTTCTTGCTCATGTCGGGCATATCCATACGTACAATTTTACACTGAATGTGCGCCCATGTGTTTCGATTTATTTCATATTGCGGTGGCTGGACTGAGGTTTTATGGTGGCAACTTGGCTCTACACCATGAGTTCGATGTCGGCACCATCATCACCTTCTCCTACCTGTGGAACAGGCTGGGTGCATTCTGCTGACCTCACAGGGGTTGATACCTTTCACTGTCAATCCTGGGGCTTCAATTCACTCGTGCGCAAGTCAATCTGCATGACTTTGCCACAGATTCATAGTAAATGCCCCACTTGATCAAAGGTGGGGACCGAGTACACCTGCTATTTGCAAAGTACTTTGCTTTGTGAGCTCCGCAATGCATGTCACAGTCACAGTCCCAGATATCCTAAAGCCATGCACTAAGACCTTGCAGGTATCCCAGAGACTGTACATCTCTGCACATTTGTGCATATCTATCTATTCTTATCCACATTTATCCATATTAGCAACGTGAGAAGGCCTTGGAGTGTGAATAGCAGTGGCTGCTTGTTGTCGCTCTGATTGTTCTCTATGTATGTGAGCAGTTGATTGGGAACACTTAACTATAATCTCTATTTCCTGCAAATTATTTCTGCAGTCCCTGGTGTCTCCAGTACCTTTTGACCTTTTGATATTCTTCTGAAGCCTTTGGTCAAGCCATTTGGTGTTGTTTGTTGATTCTTGTTGATTCTTGAGAAGTTCTCAACATTTTGCAACACATTTCCAACAAGGACCGTTTGACGGTTTGGCCGCATGAGATTTTGGGCGAGGCTCAGCAGCGCCTTCACGAGTTTGAATGAAAACATCAATCAACCGGTGAAGGCTGTGAGCCCTGCTGGCTCAGTTTGCTCCACGCATCAAGGTTCACAGTTCACATGTTTTGTCAAAGGTTTGCTCTATTTTAGTCTGTTCAGTGATATATATAATATATAATTAACATTAAGTCGAACTTAGAACCATAAGTGTTACTTTTGTGGTAAGATGGGGGCATCCGTAGTTTCTTGGGTCGAGCTTTGAAACGGGTAGTACTTCGTGTTTACCCATAAACCCATGTTTTTCCGGTTGGCGGTTGCTGTGGTGATTCTTTCACACGGCCAATGCTGGTGGTTTGGCAATGAATCCATGCCGCCACCAGAGACCGCTTCGAAGCGATGGCAGCAGTTCAGGAATCGGTTTCCGAAGACTGAAGAAGCTGCATCAACCTGGTACAACCGGTGTGCAGGTTGGTTGGTATCAGGAGTTTTTGAAGATTTCGGACATCACTGCCCTGCCGGAGGTCGATTTCAACTTGTGGATGGGCGTCTACTACAGGTGCTGGTGGTGCTGACCGTTTGCCTCATTGCTCATTATCTGTGTTCAGTCTGTTATCCAATAGTGTCCATCATACTGGCACTCGTGATGGCCTTGGTGTGGGTTCTTCAACGGGTCTTGCGCATGATAGGGATGGTTTTCTTTCATGCTCAGCGATTAACGGGTGGAGCTCCGGAGGCATCTGACGCGGAGTTTCATGGACCTGGAACCGGGGCTGTACCCGAGACCGCCTTGCTTAGAGGTTTCAAACGAACCGGAGATAACCCTATAAGCAGGTGGTGGTGCGACGTGGAAGTGAGGTGGCAGTTTTTTTCAGTTGGTACAGATCAGCAGAACATCCGGACTCATGGTTTGTATCTGCCGGTGGAGCCTGATACCGCTCGGGGTAGTCCAGCGTTGGTGCGGAGGCTCAACATGGCCGACAAGGTGCACTTGTGCTGCAACAACATCTGCACTGAAGATGCCACGGAGCATTTCACGGAGTATGGGGTTGTGAAGAAGTTCAACTTTCTCAGTCGCAGCAAGGAGCACTGGCATGTTCGCGACAGCTGTGGGATTGGATTGTTCCGACCGGACGCAAGACTGTTACGGACGTTGTTGGGCGCATTCGTGCATGCCTCTGAATCCGAGACCGAGGACGTCACCTGCAACATGCTATCCTCTAAGATCAGTTAAGGCAAAAAATTGCCTTTTAGGCAATCTACAAAAAATTGACGAATAGTTAAAAATCAAATTGCCTTATTGCAAGCCTGAGGTAAGTCAATTCTACAAAATTGACTTAAGTCAAATTGGTTAAATTAACTTAAGGATACTTAAGGCATTTTTTTAAAGCCTAAGTAACGTGTGTTTATTGTCTAAGTCACCTTCACTTTTTGTTTTAAATACTTTATGCTTTGTCAGCTAAAGAAACATTTTTTCTCTGGTAGCATATGCATTTTTTCTTGACAGCAGACATTTTGGTCACTGTTCCATGCATGCTGGAGACAAGAATCTCTATTGGGAACTATTTTGTTGTCATGTTGCTTGACTGCTTTTTGAGTTCATGTAGCTCTGGCTCCACTAGAAAATGTACAAGAACTGCTTTTGGCCAGGTATGTACCACACATTCTCTAAGTAACATTCCAGTTTACTAAGTAACATCTGGGGAGCTTCAGGTGAAGGTTAGGCCCAAGGATGTTTCAACTCCCAGACTGGACACTGGTGTTGAGAACCCCTAAGCCACAGTTCAGATGACTATGGGATCTTCCTGGGAGTTCATCACAGGACCAGGGATTCAACTTCCTTAGTGAATGGATGAGAGCAATACCACTTATGAAGTTACTATAGTTCCACCTGGGTGGAGCCACAGTTTTGCAAAATCTGGGAACTTGATGGTTCTGATTTTATTGCCCAATGTATTTTTCTCATGAAAAATCATCACGATGTCAGTTTTCATCAAATGTTCATTTCTTTTTTTGCGATTTTTTGATCGTTTTTCTTCAAAATGTGGATCAGCAGGTGCCAGTTTGGTGCAAGTTTGCTGCAAACTTGCACCCCTGGTATGCAACTTTGATGCTAGTTTGATGCTAGTTTACAGTTTGGTGCTAGTTTGATGCCACTTTGATGCTAGTTTGGTACTAGTTTGATGCTAGTTTGGTGCAAGTAGCTTATGAAACTGGCATAGTACCGGGTTAGCTTATGAAACTGGCACCAAAGTGGCACCAAAGTGGCACCAAACCAGCATCAAACTAGCATCAAAGTTGCACACCAGGGGTGCAAGTTTGCAGCAAACTTGCACCAAACTGGCACCTGCTGATCCACATTTTGAAGAAAAACGATCAAAAAATCGCAAAAAAAGAAATGAACATTTGATGAAAACTGACATCGTGATGATTTTTCATGAGAAAAAATACATTGGGCAATAAAATCAGAACCATCAAGTTCCCAGATTTTGCAAAACTGTGGCTCCACCCAGGTGGAACTATAGTAACTTCATAAGTGGTATTGCTCTCATCCATTCACTAAGGAAGTTGAATCCCTGGTCCTGTGATAAACTCCCAGGAAAATCCCATAGTCATCTGAACTGTGGCTTCTGTGGCTTAGGGGTTCTCAACACCAGTGTCCAGTCTGGGAGTTGAAACATCCTTGGGCCTAACCTTTACCTGAAGCTCCCCAGATGTTACTTAGTAAACTGGAATGTTACTTAGAGAATGTGACTTAGTTCAACTGAAATTTAACTTAGGCAATTCCTGCCTGCAGTCTACCCAGTCCAGCTTAGCCAGCAGGTGTTTCTCACCCTTAGCTGTCCTGAGCCACAGTCATCCTCATTTAAAAGTTGGCAAAGCCAAAGCCTAAGCAAAGGACAATAATAATGAGAAACTTACTGCAGTCAGAAAGAATAAAGAAGTAAGTGCTTGACATGTAGGAGGAACAGCACATGTGTGTGCATATTTTCTTGCAAAACACTACAAAACCTGAAACCATAATGACACTTTGATGGTGCAAAGACTATTGACATGTTAGAGCTGCAAGTCTCTTCTTTATCTTTTTTCTTTATTTTTTAATAAAAAATCCTTTGATTTCAGTTGGTTTTTACAAGCTTTTCTTAAGGCAATTGAGGCAAATTAACTTAAGTCAATTTTTATCAAAATTGACTATTAGTTAATTTTTTGCCTTAAAATTGAAATTTGACAATTATTCAATTTTTTGCCTTAACTGATCTTAGAGGCTACCAGAGGGAGTTTGACTTGCTTCGGCCTGAAGTCCGCCAAGGAGTCATGGAGAAATGCGAGGGAGATGAGGCCAACGTCTGGTGGATTGCTGCCCCGTGCACCAGCTACTGCGACTGGCAGTTGCAGAATGGGGGCACCAGGACTTTCGATCAGCCTTCAGGAACAGGAGCTGCCCCCACGCACAACGTGAGCAGGACGGCAACACCTTTGCTGGGGAGCTCTTTTTGAAGGCACTGCATGGAGAGGCGTCAGTTCCCCGTATGTGAATCGTCGGCCCCCAGCGGACGGTATCCAAAGCAATGGGATATTGATATTCCAGTATGGCGGGAAATTCTTCGCCGCGACGATGTGGATTACATCGACTTCGCCATGTGTGCGTGGGGTTTGGGGCCGCCCGATGAGGAGAATGCCTTTTACATCCACAAAACACGCCGTGTCTTTCCCAGACACGAGCCATTGAGGAAGCTTCTACTGCGCCAATGCCCAGGGGTTGGGGCAAACCACAAGCATGTCGCGTTGAAGGGCGCTCGGCAAGGGCAGAGCGTCCCCCGGTGTACGGAGGCAGGAGCTCATGCATGGGAGTTTGCCAAGGCTGTGGTAGAGGTTCTGCAATCTACACTGAGGGGGGTCAGGTTTTAACCACATCCAGCAGCGCATGCAGGGGGCAAGAGAGCCCGAGAGGAGCCGGAGGAGCAGCTGAGGAGAGGGGACGGTTCAGAGGGTGAGGAGAATGAGGAGAAGGGCGAGTATGACTCCGACGAGGCGATGGACGTCGTGGAGTTTGACGAGGTTCCGGGGGATGAAGACGCGAGCAAGCCCGACGTGGCCCCCCCTGAGTTTGACGACCTTCTCGAGGGTGTGGCCGCCACTGAGCCCAAGGATCTTACTGCCGAGGGGGAGGGCTTCGAGACTGAGAACGTTGTTGAAGATGACGGCATGCTTGAGGTTGAGGAGGCCCTACGTTGATGACGCCGAGAAGGCCACTGCAGATGAGGAGCCCTTTGAGTTTGAGGAGGACTCGGAGGAGAATGAGGCCAGGGAGCTTGACAAGAGCGTCGAGGAGCTTTGCAACGATTCTGGGGGCGAAGGTGGGGCTTCGGAGATGAGCCAACCGACGGAGAAGGTGATCAAATGCCCTTCAAAGT